GTTACTCCCTAATCGTGTTCTCGCTTCCGCGTTGTTGTGGGGTGCTCGTATCGATTGTGCGTCTAAGTCAAACAATGACAATCACCACAATCTCCGATCATCTCTTTCAGTTTCAATATAAACCCGCTCTGAATCCTAACTTGCAAGGAACAGACTGGTATTGAAGTAAAATAGAATTTTGTACGTGAACCAAACTTTACCGATATTTTTCACTTTGTGGATTTTATTGAATTTGTACATTGCATTTGGTCTGACGAGCAGCGTACATATTGAAATGAAATGTAAAAAACATGAGCCTACATAATTTATACAAATACAAAAATCCATTCCTCATTAGATCTTAAGATAAAGGACAATTTTGAAGATCGGGCTTACATTATTGAGCCCCCCGTGTGACAGAATGTCTAATCATTCTGCTCAAAAGTGACAGAACGCACACACGTAGTCTCTATGTCACTTTGAATACCCAAGTCAAATGCATAACCATATCGATGGATGACAAATGTTGACACACAAAAGAATTCCAAAAAAACCCTGGTAAAACAACAAAAATTTCAAACTGCTTAAAACTCATTTAAAGAATACGAATGTCGGACAAGCGTCAAAGTTACCCGGAAAAATTCTTTGGTTGAAATTGATGAATGAAATCGACGAAAGATCCATAAATTTCCACGTTGATAAACTTCGGATTTACTGATCAGAAAGTATTCGCTGAGAACTTCCGTCAAGTGAGACAGGACACGTTGCATTTGTTCCAAGATCCTTAAGAAAATGAATTCAAAAACAAAGGGATGGAGTGTGAATGCAGTATCTGGACTGCGAAAACAATCTCTGCGGGTTAAGATGAAGAAAACACCTGTTGTCCGTAACGGGAACTTTTCACGCTTTTCTGGAATGCAAACTCTCTGAGGAAAATGGATGGAATACATTCTGAAATTCACTTAATCAGCCAGCAACCAAAACCAGCGCACGAATGTGCATGGTTAATCGTTGTAAGAACTGAACTGAACTGATATTTTTGATCGATATCTCATCCGAATCTTTATTACAATAAGGAATTTTTCATTCTGTTTGTCATTCATTCATTAATTCAAAATGGGCCATCTGTCATTATGTGATCCCATATCCATTGTTATTTACCCGACCCCCGGGGTCATCTCCCCGGGTACACTAAGGATAACTCTTGTTCCTTCGTTCGTTCATCAACTTCGTCCGATACCAGTGTCATCAATCGCCCATCACTTGACGGAGACTGCAAATCCAGAAAACACTCATTCAATCGTTTACCCGATTCTGGTTAGCAGTATGTTGTCTTGTGTGTTCTGGTTATCTGTGTTGGATTACGGGGCCATAACATTACTGTACACTTGCGTTGGGAGCAGAGTGAGATGTTATCAGAATCAGTGTGGTATGCATGAGTAAACACAAAAAGCCATTTAATTCGGAAGCTGTTTGCTTTCCCTGTGATTCAGGGCACCTGACAGCGCTCCCGGGTCAGAATCACATTGTCCATGTGTATTATAGAGAAAACACTTGCTGTGGGTAATCCTATCTTGCAAAAGGATTATGAATATTTTGTACGCGCACTGTGTCAATTACTTACCGTATGAATGGTGCATCCCGCCAAAAGTGTTCGCTCATCACAATGTCAATTATTTTGTAATAATCAAAGCGAGTGGCTGGTAGCCATGTGGGTGCCTCATACAGACATTCCGTGATTAGCCGTGTGACCAATTTTTCCGGCATATCAGTCTTGCAACCCAATTTGACACATTTGGCCATTTGTACATAGAGTAAGAACATACGAATACCGCAGTACATTGGACCTAGAACAAGAATGACAAATCAAGAAGGCGACTAGAATCTCGTTAATCATGTTGGGGAAAATCTGAATACATTTAAATGAAACAAATCTGTCAGAATTTGAGCACAGATTGCGCTTAGTTGCGCTGCATCTGAACTGCGAGAATTTGTATACTAACTGTAGTAAACACTGATCAAGATCATCGGTAACGGGTCATGTGACCTGGACATTCGGTTGAGCTTCGTGAGATNAACTGGGTTGCCACTACGTGGATGGACAAAACAACCCATTGTCTAATTGGGCCGATGAACTTCGTGATGTTTCTTCTGTGGTTGGAGTGAATGTTATCAGGCAATTGAGTGTCTCTTCAGCAGACCACACGAGGCGATTTCCTCCGATTCGGACCAGTGTTGGTAAACAGAGATAGACAGACAGACAGACAGACAGACAGACAGACAGACAGACAGACAGACAGACAGACAGACAGACAGACAGAGAGTTATCCGCCCAATCGTGAGTTAACGGCGACAGTTTACTGTCCAACAATTTGCAATTTCCTCTTTTATAAATCATTGTATTTTCGTCTGTTCCTTGATTGTTTCACAACCTTCTTGCCTGGTTTACTTGAAAAAGACTATCCCTTTTCATGGCGACTTAGCAATCGTCAGTTACTTCACTGCACTCCTTCCTACGGACTACCTGACCGATGTTTTTGGGATCTTCCTATTGAGTCCGGTGTAGGTTATGCTGATGGGGTCCCGTCGGTAGCAAATCACACTCTCTTTATTCTGAATTATATCGCTGTCATTCCAGTCCCTCAAAAAATAAACCTAATTACTATCTCCTTCCTGCAATGTATATGTATCTGAACATATATATGTCCCGTTCTGTTTGCTACTGAGTTACTGAGTCAAGCGGTCAAGAT